ACAAACAAGTCTGACACAGCATCAACAATATCAAGACAGCTACCTCAAGCACTGATCAACCCTCGACACTTTACACACACACACACACACATTATCACAACTCTACCAAGGTTAGCCAATGATATGGTATCTCAAAGTGTCCGTTAGTTAGTTCATCCGTATTCCTGTGTTAACGACGAGACTCACACATCCCGTCTTGTGTTACACCCTGCTGACGTTACTCTAAATCAGGGGTCACCAAACTTTTTTCACAGTGGGCCGGATAACTGAAAGAATGACGAGCGCGGGCCGCATAATCATTCTGTTCAATACTTGCAAGCCAGAACGAAAGCTCTGGTAACGTCAGAGCGTAGGCGGAGCTACCACGAGCCGGGGAAGGACTTGGGATCCGGCCCGCGGGCCGTAGTTTGGTGACCCCTGCTCTAAATGATGCACCACATGTCTAAAACAAGTTATATACCGTGGCTACACTGTCAAGGAACACTGTGGGGGTTTTTAATGACCACAGTGCCTTGAGGTATACTGTATTTAATTACCATATTGTATTAAAGTATAGTGTATTGAAAGACCTAATTGTATCAAGCTTAAAATAAATTTCTTCCATCACTAATACAATATGTCCGAAAGGGTATATATGTAAGAAAAGGTCTCAGTCTAATATGTCCCTATAAAGTTATTCAAGAGAGTGACAGAATGGATAAAGAAATGAGGCGAGAGATGCAACATGGTTGGATTTCACAACAGGACTTCTACAGACTACAAAAAAAAACAATGAAACAGAACTAAACCAAGGTCTGACAAATACAGAATAGTGAATCACAGGGTTTTTTTTTTTTTTGCACGTGTATAGAACCAATTCATAAGGTGTCTGAGTGTCTGTTATGCTCGTTCCCCACTCGGCGCCTCTTTTATACGGTGTCTGAGTGTCTGTTATGTGTCTTTTATACGGTGTCTGAGTGTCTGTTATGCTCGTTCCCCACTCGGCGCCTCTTTTATACGGTGTCTGAGTGTCTGTTATGCTCATTCCCCACTCGGCGCCTCTTTTATACGGTGTCTGAGTGTTTGTTATGCTCGTTCCCCACTCGGCGCCTCTTTTATACGGTGTCTGAGTGTCTGTTATGCTCGTTCCCCACTCGGCGCCTCTTTTATCAATCAACGATAAAATTCCATTTGATATTTTCCTCCTGACAGAATGATTATATTCTTGCAATGGTCAAAGATAAGATCAATTGACAGCCATTCCCTCCAGCTCCTCTCACTGCTGTGGTATGGTAACTAAAGGTGTCATAATTACCTATATTCTGTCCACGTATGTAGTTATCATCGTGAGTTCTTCAATTCCCATAAGATGAAACAGTTGTCAAAATTTTTCTATAAACTATCAATTCACTGTTATTGTGTCACAGGTAAATTAATTGTCAAAACGGATAAAGAGGTGGTTTGTTTAAATATGATATAGAGAAAACACAAGTTACCTGAAAACAATAATTTACCTGTGGGTGTATGTTGTATTATAACATTACTGAAGAACCACAGATGTATGTAAAATTAAACCAAGGATTCCTAGAAATGAGTAAAAGTTTTCTAGGCATAATTAAGGGATCAAGCTGTGGAGATGATGTAACAGAAGCTGAGGCATTAATGTGACCCATAATTTCCCCACAGAGAGAAGTCACAGTAACTAAATTATAAGACACAACATTAAGTATTATTAGATGTTTATATCCTTGTGATCATTAATAATTAAGCCAACACATTAAAAAATAAAATACAAAACGAAAAAATTAGGTCACCGTGACTTATTTCTTCAAGGATGTGAACGACTACACTGAGATTTTGTCATATTTAGTGCGAGTCTATCCCCCCCATCCCCCCGTGATTATCATCCATTACAGGGTCAGCAGCTGTTAAGTCACTTTAATATACCAGCAGTGGTCAGGGTCTCACTTTAACTAGGAAGATATCTGGTGTCCTCATTACAGAAGACTTTTATGGCATTTGGGACGGAAAAAAATTGGTGTCCACATTCCTGATTAATAAGTGTTCTGCATCTGTCAAGCAGTCCTGTACTCAATGGATACATCTTTAACGCCCAGGAAATACTCTTGATTATTATCTGTGCCTGGGCAGCTAGGATCCACTGTATAAGACTTCACTCTTTATAAAATACACCATGCTATACTAAAGATATTTCCAGTACAGTATATTATTAAACACCAACTTTCATAATGAACTATATTTTTCCACTTTTATCAACCCCACAATAACCAGACACAGATTATAAATGAGAAATGCCATCAAGTAGAGAGTTGTCATATACAGTAAAATCACCCAAGGGAAATAAAGATAAATTAAGCCCCATCAGTCACATGTTTCATCTAATGTGTGGTTAAAATGAAGTGTTTCACTCACCTTTACGTTTACATCGTCAATATATGGTAGTTACGTGGTACCGTGTGTGTGAATGAATGTAAGAACAGGGGGATGTGTGATTACATATAATGACAAATAAAAACATTATATCATCAGAGACAGGACATGGCCTGAATGAACCCAGAATCATTATTGCAATGAGTGTCCTTTAGGCCATCCACGCCACTGCACCATCACACAGTACTGTAATGCCTCCCAAGAATTCTATAAAGTACAGTTCTACAGCCATTGCTCCTAAAATATCATAATAGATGCAAACAAATTTAAAATCATATACCGGTATTAGCTGTTAAGTGATTGGTGTGTGCAGTACCCTTATCAGTGACTAATTTGGTAGCCCGCCCAACCACATGACTCGTTCACCAAACATCTTTCAAAGTCCGAGTGGGAGAAATGAACAGCATTAACCACATCTTATTATATGAGCCACCATACTGTATGCCAGGCAGTCAAGGCCACACGATTGCAGGAGCTAATAAGCATGACTGTGGTTTATATAGCCAGGGTTAACTACTGAAGGTGCATCTACAGGCTTGGCTAGTGACAAGAAGTACCCCACTTACTTCACTGAACACCGTCAAGAATCCATTACTGTTACCATCCCAACACGCTGTATGCCCGGTCACTCTAACTTTTCTTTCTTGTAAACATCATTACTCGACATATATCGATTCATTCTTAATGCCGATTACAAGACGACGTATTCTCCACGCGACCTTACTGTCAGCCACAGGAAACAATGCCTCACAATGACTATACAGAAGGATGGATGTCTCCTGGCTGTGTTACCTTGAGACTACAGTGAACCCTCACTTTACTCGGTCAATTGAACCCACGGCGGCCCGCGTAAAGTGAGAAACGCATAAAGTGAACAACATAACATATGGGATTAATTGAAATAGAGACCGGGCCGACCCCCAAACTCCACTTTTTCAGACACAATACCTATGTTGTAGTAAAAATAACTTAATTTTATGATGGTATGCACACACAATTAATAATTAAGAGAAATATCAATAATATTAAGTTTTTTAACACTTACATTAGTAGAAAAGATGGCTGGGCACACGGGGATGGGGGATTGGTTCCGAGGCAGAGGGCAGATTATTGGCCCTCACCTGTATCACTTGTATCAATTGTATCACTATCCACCACAGAGGCTTGCAGGGCCCCTTTGTCAAACCCCTCAATGTCCATATAAGTCCATATCCTCACTATCACTGACTTGGGCCGGCTGTGGTGGGTGGCGGGTGAAGAACTCGGTAATGTTTTGATGACTGGGCGACCTTGTGCGCACCCTGCTCGCGCCGCTTTCCGCGTAAAAGGGTACACACACCGCGGAAAGTGAGCATTCCGTGTTCGGCAGGGTACCGCGTAAAGCGAGGGTTGACTGTACAATAGAACACACCACCAGCCATGTCTAGTAAAGGCACACAACTCCCAAAACATCACAGATCCCTTACAAAACACTAACACTTTTAGGTTACTATAAACTATATAAAAAAAATGAAATAATTTGACTTGCAATATTGAATGTCATCATCATCAACATTTTACGGACAATTTCCAGGAATAGAAAAAAATATATATATATATACATATAAACAAAGGTTGAAAAGTATGATAAAATAACATAGGCATTCCAAACGCCATCCATAAATGTTCATACAGACTAGCCGTTGTAAACTTTTAAATATTCGGGATTGAAATTGAGAGCTGTTTAAATCCCCGGGACAAATTAAATTCTACTTCAAGCACAACCGATGTCATCCACAATACTGCGCCTCCAGCCACACGAGGGAATTCTAAGAGTACAGTTATTCGCACCTGTGATAACTTGTGTCCCTGGAAGCAAGTCTCCAAGTGGCTAAATCTAAACCCAGATTTCTTCGCTGACCCATTACACCTCATGTATTTATGGCTCTTAAACCATCTGAAGATTAATTCCCCCAAAATCTCTACCTAAAGATTAACCACTCAAACATTAACCTAATAACTTAAACTAATCCCCCAGGTAGATTAAGGTGTTTAATCAGGTGAAATACACTGAAGGAGTAATCTTCAGGCGAGTTTCTTAATCTTCTAGTTAGCTCAGCCCTCCCTCACTGCTGGACAAGTTGGCCATAACCAAAGGAAACCCTGAGTGTCTTGTTCACTTTTATCCACTTATTTTAGAGATGTTTCCCTTCTGTTACAAGACCCCAGTACAACACAGTACAGCACAGTGTCTCTAACTGGTTCATCCATCACTTCCCGCATCACAAGAACAAGTTATCAGTTTCAATTATAATCGCATAAACATAAGTATTTTGCCTTCTATCTAGTGAAGAAGATGATGATGACGATGACTGCCTAAATGGATAATTTTTCTTTATTCTTGTAGCTAAAATCTTTCTCATTCATGGAGGGCGGCAGGAACCAAACCACACCCTCATTCACCACCAACTATATACAACAGAAACTGACGTCACATCCTAATTAATATTTATCTAATCGCCACCACATTGTACACTAGAGCAAATATTTTAAAGTTAATGCTTCTTGAGGAACTGTGAATCTTTACTTACCTTTATCTTCTTGTACTTCCTCTTGGATGCCGTATTGAGATCCTCGTGAACTTTGTCCAACACGAACATCAGGAACTCGGCGGCGTCGTGTTGCTGTGAGCCGCGGTAAATGGACTCGAACTTGTCCACGGTGTTCTTAAAGTTCATGGACAGATCGGGCACGTATCTTAGAGTCCAAAGAGCCTTTAACAGCACGGCTAATTGTTCTGTGATCTCCCCCCTGGTGCCATATTTTTTGGAATTGATTTTATTACATCTGGCCAGGTCGTGTTTATACTGGTCCAAGACGAAGTACTCGGCAAGAACGTCGGTATGATTGAGGCACTGTATCACTGCATTAATAAAACAAGTGTTGCCATGGTTACGGATGCCCATGACTCCGGGTACCTTCCCCTCCTCAAACTCGACATAATCCTCCGCTTTGGGACTCTGGAGGTCGGACACCGAGATGGTCTTGCTATGTTCGAGCTTCCCTCTGTGAACCCCCACTGGCGCGTTTGGGGCGCCCCCTTGCACCTTGAAAGCTACCCGACTCACAAACGAACTCATTCGAGTGAGATACTTTTTCTTTGGTTTTACCGAGGCACTGCTGGAATCACTGCCACCATCCAGGCTCTCCACACCATTTTCACTGATCATGCTCGACTGTATTGTGGACTCCGTCACACTTCCGGGAATCTGATTGATATCGCCCTTCGGTGGCAATCCACTTTCCTTATATTTCCCAGGCTTTTTGCTCAGCCTGAAAGACATAAATGGTCGCTTCCTACGAGGCTCTGCGTGTCCATTCATTGTTGATGGTTTAGAAAATCTGGAAGGAAGAAAATGAACACAATTACTTAAATATCCATACTATGAAAAATACTTATTACATTATAATTATGTACAGTACATATTATTATAATTAAAGCACACAATTATATTTCAAATGTCATTCAGGTAAAAGTTCAATGACAAAAAAGTCTGTACTGCTTATTCCAGTACAGTACTGTATTTAACATGAATAATGTACTGTACTGTACAGGGTACTAAAGGGTTTGCTAATTTCTACTAAGGTCACATAGATAATAAATGATGAAGTTGAAAAGTTACAAAATAATGTTGAAATATTTGTTGACTAATAAAGTGTAGCAGATGTTCTCTTAGTGATAATTAAACAATTAAAGTAAAAATGAATCATTACCCAGCATGCCAGTGTGAAATATAATATGAAACCCACAAAGTAAGGAATCCTCATTTCAAATTATAAATACTGTGCATATAAGTGTGAGTGCAGGATTATATAAGGACTGCATAGTAAACCCAGGCATTATTGACCACACTAGTTAGCAGATACACCCCCCCAGCTGGACCACAAACCACTAATGTTGTCCACTAATAGATAATCAACAAGGGTAAATATCTCCTCCTGTGGTCTTTTCCTTTAACAATATTTCTGTGATTCATTGTGCATCTGAACATTTTATATCTTGCTGCTGTTTGCCAATGAGAGCCATCGGGGGTGATTGATGCATGATAAGTGTGATGACTGTATTACAAACTGTTCATGCTGATTGGTTGGTATCAACATGAGGCCTTGGGGTTAATGTCCCTCCTATTGGCTGGCTTACGGCATTAAACCAATAGGAGAATTTAACTTACCCAAATTACCTTACTTTAACAATCATGGGTTATATTTTAGGTTAGGTTAAGTTAGTCTGGTTTATGTCAGTTTCATAAATGGTTTAATTACTGATGTACCGAGTCACACAACCACCATTTAGAAACAAGATCTCTGTAGTGTATTGATATTACATACAAACTTACACTTAATTCTACATAAATTCAAATGGTATCATCAGAAATCCTTTATTGGTGTCCTCAAAAGACATCAAATATGGAAACCTCATAAAAGAGTTTTAGTTAATATACAGTACATGCAAGGACCTAAAAAGTGACACACTATACAGAATGTTTGCTCCCGGACAGTGGGTGATAAAGGTGAGAATGAACTCATGAGAATAGCTGTAATAATGGTCAAACAACATACCAATAGCTTAAAAAGTAGTACCGCAAACTTTTCCCTTTAAAACTACGGTACCGGGTATTGTTTCATTACTCTCAGAATATCACAATAGAGAAAAATTAGTACAAAGTAGTATGGTAGTTCTGTTTCACTGTCTATAACTCTTAAGGCTAAAGCTGGGTAACCTAACAATATTGCTGCATTCATTATTGTGATGTAGATAACTATATACACTACTATAAATATCAAGGTTATATTTATCACTAGCATAACAATATAAGCTAAAAGTATATACACAGCGAAGTATATATATCGTATTACCTCAGTTTCTACCGTAAATATTGCATTAATGTACGGTCCATTTTAAAAACTTCTCACACAGCCATGCAGAAGCATATATGAAGCATCATTAAATATAAACATTAATTCATCATACTGTATATACACATTATACAGTATACAGGTATATATATCTTATGATCTCTGCATGGTGCTGGTATGATAAAGTAAGCATAAGCAATTCTGAAAAATGATAAGTCAGTATAGCAGAGTTGGTCACCAGGTCCATTATAAGCTGTGCATACTATAAAGGTCAACTTCTAATTATATTAAATACACAATAACTCAAGAAAGGTGGTCAACACCCCCTTTAAAATACTAGTGGATGTTAGTCAAGGTAGTAAAACATTCTCATCTACTGTAGTATAAACCTAATCTACCCTCAACACTACAGCTTCAGTCTTCCTCGTGTATATACCTTTACATAAGCCTCAGTACCACTGGAGAAGAGAGAAATGACATGTTGGTACTGGTAATCTTGGCAAGATGGTCAACATATCAACATTTTTTTTCTGGATATTCTGGTATAAATTCTTCCTCTATTGCTTCTTACTCGAGCCTGTTGAGATATGAGCTTGTCATTTGTGGCCGCTAGTAGACAACATCTTACAGAACAAGGCAATTATTGCATGATAAATAAAATGTGACCACAGACAGTAAAAATTAAATAAAGTGACGCCCATCTCAACATACTTCACCAAATGACTTGAGTGAGACATATAATTGGATTTATTACAACAATATAAATCAGTAAAACAAAATTGTACAACACCAAGTTATGCAAAAACCTAAAAGTGAAAACCAAACATCTACAGGAAGATATTTCTAAAACTGATTCATCTAAATTAATCAGGTACCTATATATACACCCAGTACAGTATATAAAATGATATTCTACCATGAAACAATAAGAGTCAAGCTCATTAACAGGACACACATCCACAACACCAGATATAACACAACAGGCTTCACTCCATACCTAATTAAATATATCCTAACACTACACAACATTTAAAACAATAAAAAATAATCAACAAACAATAAAAGAAGTACAATTCCTCAGTGATTAAAGCAACCTGGGAATGACTTACACCACCACTAGGGAGGGTCAACTCAAGTAAAAATAAGCTGTGAGGGTCAAATCTTCAGGTGTATTAAGCTGGGAGGATCAAATCAAGTAAAAAAAATAAGCTTGGAGGGTTAATAGTACTGACAGTCACCCACCGTACCTGTCAAGTGTGTGGGCTTTAAGGAGGAGGACTGGGGCGTCAGGTGTACCAGGAGGGCTAGTAAGGGATCCCTCTCCTCGGGCCAGCTGAGACGCCGAGACTGAACGTGCCACGGGCATTTCTCACTAAACCACCACCCGCAACTCTTTAACAAATTCACAGATCACCATCAACACCACACCATTATCACTAGTCACTACGTGGTACTACACCCCGGTGAGACGTAGTACTACACCCCTCTGACACCCAATGACTACTGTTGTGGACTGATGCATTGTGGGTTAATAAAGCTTCCCTAACCTGGGGCTAATGGACTGGTTCTCTTTTATCTATCACTTCTAAGGTTTGTATTATTTAACGAATTATTGCTAATATTAATTTAAAATATATATAAATATAATTCCTATCTGAAACGTTGGATTTATTACACTAAATATCTGTTTAAATGGGACTTTAAATATAAATGTTGCCATATGTCATCATCCTACTCCCCATTGGCCAATAACACTGCACAGATTTATTTAACTGAGTTCTGATTGGCTACAGTAAACCTACCAGATTCTCCCTTTAAATCAGCATTAATTACTAAAATCAGGTTATTTCTCCTGTAATAGTGTAGCCTTAGTCATCATATATACATAACTAAGCTTTCCATTACAATAAAGAACTTAACAATACCGATATTTACTTCATTCACGTATTTCATAGTAAATACCTTTAAATAAACCAACGTTTTAATTTATCTTTTAATTCCTTCTATTTCTTAATATATAAACAAACCGATAAATACTATATCAATTATATAATAAATAACACACATATCTACTACTACAGCTTCATTAAATATCAAAATAAGCTTAAAATTTGACAAAAAATACTTTAAGCCAAAATAAACTAAAGGAACCATAATCCGATTCTAAATCCGGATCTGTTGTCGTTTTTGGTTCGTTTGTTTACCTCATCTCCCCCACCGTGTGTCGCTGGTTGCTGCTCTATCATTTCATCAATATAAGTGAAGTATTGTTTAACTAGTTCTTTGAGTAGCTGCTGGTGTTGTAAAGATTAGATAGAGTTTATAATAGAATCATCATCATAAGGGATATCTATTTGTTGTTAGTATGTGGTGTAATATCCTGTAATATCTTTTAAAGAATTATTTTATTAACTTATAATATACGCTTATGGACCATGGTTATTAAAGTGTATTGATATATTACATAAAGTAGTTTATTTATGGAGATTCGGCCCCTTTAACACTATAAACGACTATGAATTCCATGAGATTCCAACCTAACCTCTCCTAAACTATATTATGACCTATTTTAACAATAATATTACCTTATTTATCCAATGGACATGCATACACTAATTCTGTGAACCTAGTTTCATACACTCTGATGTTGTTTGTGTTTAGTAGACATGATCTGGACACAGCAATATTGATGGATCATTAAATCTCTAAACACGATTTTCACTGCATATTTTATTCAGGTTTGTTTCACTTTACTTCTTGTTATTATTGATTATTTTCTAGATTTTCACAGATATGTTTGTTTCCATGTAGAGAATACAGATCTGGTGGCAGAGAAAGGAAATTTACTCTGAATTCATATATATTTTACTTAATATATATTTTCTTTTCAGGGACTACTCATGAACGGCTTGACGTTAAAAGGGAGGAAAGCAAAACTGGTGGTATAATTGTGTCTGGTCATCTGAAGTTACCTGCAGTGTGTCAGCTCAGCACCAGTATGGAAGAAGAGCAGGGAACTATAGTAATTCAAGTGACCAATGCAGAGTGGGAACAAGCAGCTATATCAGATTTCGAGCATCTACAGGTTGAGAATTTGGCCACGATCGAGTGCGGAACTGTGCCGGAAGTTTCCACCATCAGTGAGGTAGTAGCTGAAGACGCTCCAACTACTGAGCAAAATCCTTTAAATGTAGTGAAGGTGGAATTAATAGAGAAGGATAACAGCAAAGATCTGGTCCTAGACACTGTATCTGCTCCAGTAGTAAAGCATGAATGTCAGTATTGTTTTGCAAAGTTTAAAAGTAAATCCTCTTACAATGCTCACATCAGGGCCCACTACGAGGAGAGACCATTCGTGTGCGAGATTTGCGGAAGCACCTTTAAGACTAAGGCGTGTACGGACAGACACGTACGACAACATTACCAAAAGAAAGAGTATTTTTGCGGGACGTGCGGTGCAGAGTTTGCGAGTAAATATTCCTGCACTAAACACACCAAGAATGCTCACGGTGCACAGGCGAGTGAAGTAAACATGTTCAGACTGAAGGAAGAGGTATCAGATCAAGGGGAAAATGTTCTCTTCATCAAAGTTATCAAGAATGGGGAGGCATACAGGAGGAGATTCAGATTCATCAAGAGTGATTAAATAAGGACCAATCATTAAAGCTTAAGAGTAGGTAGCTGATAATAATAGGTTGTCATGTTTTACTCAGAACCTTAGACTAAGCATTTTATACTGATATAGATCAGCCTGAACTGGGTGACAAAGTACGGTATAGTCACCAAGACTATACTTACAAAATATGACAACATAGGGTATTATGGAAAAATATATAGACATTTAAAATTAATATTAACTCTTTGAATAGCTAATAATCCTGTATATTTACATTAATACATAGATATAGAAATTGTGATAGAAGTTTGATTCACATGAGCTGAGTTTCTTTAAATTATACTTCAGTACTGTACTGATACTAATTTACATTGAAGAGTCAACTATTCTTGGTAAAGTTGCCTACATGCACTGTATACCTATATTATCTAGATTTATGCTGAACTGTAAAACTGCATAGTTTATATATATATATATATATATATATATATATATATATATATATATATATATATATATATATATATATATATATATATATATATATATATATATATATATATATATATATATATATATAAATAAACTTGTAGGACAACTTTACTGAATAATAATAATTATTATTATTATTGTAAATTTCAATTAGACCTGCTTGAATAAATGTGTTTAAATAAAGTACAGTATATAAATGTCATGAGATGAACTAAACTTGTGTAATACGATACTATATCATGAAAAATTTCTTACTTCACTGCTGTTCCTTCCTCATTTCTTCTCTGTCTCCTTCTCTATCTTCACTATCCTCACTTCCAACATTTCCTTATCTTCACTTCCACCAGGTTCATTTGTTGGAGAAACTTGAAGCAACACTCATTAATTTGTTCTAACATATTTGTTGGTGTTAATCAGTATTGTTATGGTCTCTCATTCTAGTGTGTGGGATCAGTCAAAAAGAGACCTCAAGTAAAATTCATTTATTAACATTTTCTTTCCTGTTTGAACAATAAGAAACATCTGCTTATCACATTTAAACACTAAACAATTATTTAGATGAGTTTTTACATACACACTTGAGTTATTTCCTATAGCCATAATCAAGAGGTAATACAGACTTGCCTTTTAATCAGTTGTCTTCTCTTAGTGCTGTAACAGAACTCTTCAGTGTAACAATATCTTGACTCAGTATTATACAGTACTCACTAATTTAAGACTCCATACAAAATCTCTTGATATACCGGTATATCTTCCAGTCTATATTCTCTAAATACTTTCCCCCATTAAATAAAAGACAACGACTTTTATGTAGTTGAAGATGAAATTTATAATCAAGGTTTAGTGTAAATATTTATTGAAATTATAGTGAGGATGAATCCATTAAAGCAACACAGTAAATTCACACTTATTAAAAAAATCACAATGAACATATAAGGCTAATATAAAAATACTGTGAAGGAGTTAAAATAATCTCAAAATATCTTAAATTAATAATGGTTAGGTTATAAAAATCTGAATATGGCTTTAATTAATAAACTATTATTTTTACAAACACTGGTATAAAAATTTACCATAAAAATCAACACACGGTAGCAATATAACAGTCAGAACCAGGCACCAAGTATCATATACAGTAAATCATCCATTTAACGAACATCAATCTAACTGGTATAGTCCGCTATATGGAGGTTTCACAGATAATAAACGTTGAAATAACGGACTACACTCTACCATATAGGTCTCACGGTAATTAAATTTTATAGTTGTAAGCAAGGGAAGAGGAGGGAGGGTGTCGAGGTTAACTTCAGGAGCTGCGAAAGAACATCTCCCATTTTCTACTCTAATATGTTATTCCTAGTGGTTATATTCACTCAAGATCATTTTACCTTAATCTTTCAACACTCTTTCCTCTTGTGTATTGATATAGTCGTTAATTATAAACAATATCTGTGATTACTTACCATTTTTGTTGGTCGTTGTCTAGATGTGATGATTCAAGGGTCGCCTATCTTTCCTTAGTTCCTGTATCAAATGCTCGTCGTCTTAGGGGAAGCTTCACTATCAACCATGCTGTCTTTGCATTCTAAGGTGTTTAATTGATAATTATTGGTTGTTTAAGTGATTAATATATGACAACTAACCATCTTGATAGATCTTAGTCTCAAGAAATACTTAGAATTGATGTTATCATTTGTATAATTTTTAGGCTTGTTGGTTTGTTATTGTGTATATAGATAACTTTAACATAAATAAAAAATATAAAATACAGAATTTAGGAGGCTCTACAGTCCATCAATATGATAGAATAAAGACAGTAGGGTGTGTAAAACAGCAGGTTTAGAAAACAATATACGTCATTGGAATTACTTTTATTTTATGGATTATATAAATCACTTGTATTTTACGTAAATTTTACAAATATATACAAACTATTGGTACACTTATGTCTCTAATATAAACAAATTTAAGCCCATAAAGAAAAATAAGCGTTTACTTTAGTTACCCAACCAAAATATATATTTTTAACTCTTTAAAAGAAAACGGAATATTCATCAGATAAACTACTCTATTTTTTAAGATTCGTATTGTATATAGTTTCTCTCACTACCTGACCAACTAAGCTAATTTTTGTAGAACCTGATGATTTGCCCCCAGTTTATTTCACCTGATGATTAAACACCCCAACGATACCTAGAGGATTGGGTTACGTTTACATTAGGCTAGGTTAGCGTTAGAGTAGTTAAATTTAATGTGAAATAAGCTATGGTCTAATCTTCAGTTGATCTTATTCCTAACTCTTGTATAGACTCTGGTATTGGTCATACAGATGATAGCCGGCTCAGGGTTATTAATTCTTAATCCACACATGACAGCAGTTTCTCATATCATGTCCAGGTCAGTGATTCATTAAAACTAAATCAATGTTTAAGACGTGAACATTAGGTATTGCCCTGAGAGTGTAAGACAGTAGTTTCAAGTACTGTTGGTCACAGCTTCCCACTGGACTAGGAAAAGGGAATTAGGTAAGATCAGTCAGCAACGCTTAATATCAGTAAATGCTGACAGTGCGTATAGGCAGAGTAGGGTGGTCCGTCATTCAGAGGTACATCACTCCTGACCACTGCCTCAAGTAATAATGAATGCTGTCATCAACATTCTTTGTCTAATTGCCGATATATTTCATCCTAATTCCTTACATTATCTTCTGAACCCGTATACACCTTGGTGAAGCTCAGAGTCCTACAAGGGCTTCAAAACTTCACCAGTGTTGAAGAAGGTCGCTTACAAAATATGACTGTTCGCAACGGCCTTTTCGAGAGCACCGCAATTTAACAGTTATTTTTTAGATTCATACAATTACGTAGCTTTTATATGAACCTATTAAGTGTTCATTATTATTATTGTTGTTTTTATCTTCCGCAAGGGTGTATTGGTGTGCCACGGGACGACACATACACCAGCGAGTGTGTGTTGGTGGTTGGAGTCTCACGTCTTGCCAAAACTGCTCCAATTGCTCTAGTTTTTTATTTCGGGTTTCTGGCAGGAGTGAAGTGAAGCCAGCGAGGATAAAACACCCAGCTGCATAAACCCAGAAGTATATGTAGAGGTTGGAGTCTGCATTAGTGGCTAAAAATATGAAACCAAACTGCATAATGTAGAGGACAGCGCAAGACAAGCCACTACCCAGACCCCTCACAGCGCCAGGCATTATCTCCGTAGCCAAGAGACAAACTACAGGACCTACCCCACACCCGTATGCCCCTACGAACAACAGCAAAGACACTACAGGCACCCAGTTTGGCCAAGACCCAGATGTTGATGAATAAAAGAAATAAGCAATGAGCATCATAGAGAAGCCAGCGACAACAGCAGCAACGGAGAGGATGGTGCGGCGCTGATAGTGAACCAGGAGAGGATAACTGGTCATGTTGGCCACGACGCGCGCACAGCACACCAGCACAGAACACCAGTAAGGCGACACTCCCGCTTTCGCTGTCTTGAAAATACGAACCACGGACAATACTATGACTATCTGCCCAGTACATTCCTTGAGGATAATTAACGTAATGGCGGTAAGGACAGGCAATAAATATCTCGGCTGTGTTATTAGAAACCTTGGACAACCTACAGGCCCGTCGTAATCATTGTTATCAAGTTTCTTCATCTTCACCGTCAGGAGCTCATTTTCGATATCACAGTCAGGTCCTCGTGCAAGAAGTAACACAGCTCTTGCTTCTTCATGTTTTCCATGTTGTAACAGCCAGGAGGGTGACTCAGGGACGAGGGCTACAGCGATGATACACGGGAGGAAGACACAGGGAGGGACGAGCAGCACCAGTGTGGACCAATGTGTGACGGCACCCAGCAGGTAGGTCAGTAGGAAGCCCAGAGAGAAGGCAGTGTCTGGCAGGGCACCCAGCACCCCGCGTCGATGTGCCTCGCTCACCTCACACGGGTATACATACACAGACACGACACATCCCGCCCCTAACACACCCTGAAAACCACACATCACATCACTTAACACACATATAAAGTGCATTTTACATATATATAAGGGACACGCACATCTGATCCCTTGTACATCATGGATAAAATACAATAACTTTACTATATTTTGACAAGCAAACATTTCCTATTTTCCTAACATGAAAGAAAAATCCATCACCCATTAATGAAAACCTTTATTTTCCTACACACCCTGGGTGAAGGAGGCACATCACTGAATGCAAATTAGGTACCTATTTACAGCTGGGTGAACTGGGAGTGCCATAAAGACGACCCAGTGGCCATTAAAACAGGAAGTGCGTCGTGTATCCACGAGTATGACTGACCCACTCTGGAATGCGTAAAAACCTGCCTCTTTCCTATTGTCTGTCTCTCTGTAATTATTAAAAGGTCAAGAGCGTTCGTGTGGTCTATATATAAACCACCACTCATAACACCACACTGCATTCTCCAGCCATTTTTCACCCCAAAATCACAGGAGGCAGTTTTCTGTCTTGTGGCTCCACCTGACCTTCTCTTTGTTGTACTTCTGTGACTAAAACCATCACTGAGTGCATATTAACGCCCTTACTAAGACAACTTGAGTTATCTTATTCCCTCTAATAGCTAAGGTAACTTCATGTCACCTTAACACTAGTACGATAACTTCAGGTCGTCTTGAAACCTACAACACAATATCTTCTGTTCGTTTCAACGCCACTGAGACCCTAAATGATAGCTCGCCTCCTATAACACCACCGGTATGATCGATAACTCCAGCAGGTGGTACTGAAGGAGTGACAACAGTTTTCCCCTCACCTGTAGGGCGCGGACTACTATCAACAAGATGGGGTCATGTGTTGTGAGGAGGATAAGGAGCCAGGAAGCTGTCAACCCCGGCAGGAGTAGTAAGAGGAGGCGTCGCGGCCCCAGAGAGTCCATCAACACCCCGCCCAAAATGGAACCCGGGATAGACATAAGGTGGACTACGCTTGCTGGGGATAAAAAAAAGAGAAAACGTATTATAAATCTACTCTAGTGGTATACTGTTATATTTAGAGGAGGTCAAGTAATATGTTTCAGCTATACAACATACATAGGCAGTGCAGGTATGTATACGGCATACATAGACAGTGCAGGTATACAGGGTACACATGCCTAACCTCAACTAAACGGCACAGTAAGAGAATGACAGACTTACCGAACCATCCCGCTTGGTTCTGGGTGAGGAGAACGTCTTTGTGTTGCGCCCAGGAGTCTAGGGCCACAGCAGGGAAGGAGAGGACTACCCCCAAGGCCACAGCGACACCTGCCACACACACCGACCACACCACCTGCGTCAAGAGACATACAGGTGAGAAGAGAGAGAGAGAGAGAGAGAGAGAGAGTGTGTGTGTGTGTGTGTGTGTGTGTGAAGACCCGATTGCATGTTATTGTCAATATCCAGTAATCATTCTACCCACAAATATAATCAAAACAAATTAAAAATAACCAACAACAAATACCTAGATGTTTGTGTTGGTTATGGTTGGGATGGGTTTGGTTAAGATGGGTTAAGTTAAGTTACATTAACTTGGGTTGGGTTAGGTTAGCTTAGGGCGGATAATTGTAGTAGGTCAAGTGAGTTGGGGGGGGGGGATCTACAACAAGGAAAATTATCAAGGACTCCCTATGTACATTAGCCGTCAAGGAAAGATGTATTTTACATGTCTTGGCGGGCGAGAATGGAATAGCAATCATGTTAATAAGCTTTACCAGGATTTTTTTTTATCTCGAGGGAAGTAATGTCTAGTCACGTACTGTTTAGACCTCTCCCAGAAGACTCCCCAATTTATGTTTATCTGACACACATCCTAACTTTACCTGGGGGTTAGGCGTTGAGTCGTCATGATCAATGGGTTAAATCATCGTATTCAAGGGGTTAAATCATCGTATTCAAGGGGTTAAATCATCGTACTCAAGGGACTAAGTCTTCGTACTCAAGGGACTAAGTCATCGTAATCAAGGGACTAAGTCATCGTACTCAAGGAACTAAATGAGAAGATTAGATACATTCTCACATAGCCAATTACAAGCTTGATTTAACGTACGAGAATACCCGGGTCAGGTCGTTGACTCGTGAACTTGACACTAGGAAAACTCACTTGTCTGGTCACTGGTGAGAGAGTAAGGCCACGAAGCTTCTTGGTGAAGAGTTTCAGGCGAGTGAGGGTACCTGGTGACGTCTCTCGCTCACTGGACGCTGCCGTGGGGAGGTCATGTAAACTCTTCTCCATCAGAAAGTTTTCACGTCTCAAATGTTTCTACCTGACGCTTATTGCAACTTTCTTACTCAAAACAGATTTTTTTTTTAACGCTACACTGGAAAATATTCGAGTCAAAATGCAAATTCTCCACTCAAAACGTCACGACACAAGGGAAGGGAGAATGGACGAGAGGGAGTGTGTTATGTACGAGTGCCAGGTAAGCAGTGTTGAGGGCGGTCGACGGTGCCAAAACTATATACCACCAGACTAAGGCCCTATAACAGGTGTGCCAACAATACCTTACCTTACCACCTGGCAACCTAAGTCACTAATCACGTAAAAACAATAACATAAAGACTGTCATTCATACATTACATACTCAGGCTGTGTTAGAGACATAATGAATTATGTATTTGTCATTATAGGTCCCCGAGAATCGCCACTTGGAGACAGTGATAGCCCGTCACGTTATGTTGTGTCATTGTAACCTGATTATTTTTTTTTTATGTGATGTAAATATTTCCTTTCTAGTTATTTTTTGAGGGGATTTGGTGTTACCTCGTATGTAATATATTTTTTTATGTACAGTATATATGTGTAGTCTCTATAAACCATTAGTATTAAAATATCATTATTATTATTATTATTAGTATTATTTACAGGAATAACTAATAGCGTATTTCAAACATCCATATACAAGAAATAAAATCCTTATTTAATAATACGTCGAAATACATTCATAAAAAATACATTAATTACGAAAAATATTGAAAATTAATAACAAGTAATAAATCTGTCATTAATTAATACAAAGTTATAAGAGAAGAGACAGCATAAACAGGGCTAAGATCAATTTAGACAGCATCCAGAGATAACAGCATTTAACGAAGACAACATCCAGAGATAACAGCATTTAAAGAAGACAGCATCCAGAGATAACAGCATTTAAAGAAGACAGCATCCAGAGATAACAGCATTTAAAGAAGACAGCATCCAGAGATAACAGCATTTAACGAAGACAGCATCCAGAGATAACAGCACTTAAAGAAGACAGCATCCAGAGATAACAGCATTTAACGAAGACAACATCCAGAGATAACAGCATTTAAAGAAGACTTAACAGCATTTAAAGAAGACAGCATCCAGAGATAACAGCATTTAAAGACAGCATCCAGAGATAACAGCATTTAAAGAAGACAACATCCAGGAATAACAGCATTTAACGAAGACAGCATCCGAGATAACAGCATAAAGAAGACAGCATCCAGGAATAACAGCATAAAAGACAGCATACAGAGATAGCAACGCTTAAAGACAGACAGCAGCATTTAAAGAAGACAGCATCCAGAGATAACAGCATTTAAAGAAGACAGCATCCAGAGATAACAGCATTTAAAGAAGACAGCATACAGAGATAACAGCACTTAAAGAAGACAGCATACAGAGATAACAGCACTTAAAGAAGACAGCATACAGAGATAACAGCACTTAAAGAAGACAGCATACAGAGATAACAGCACTTAAAGAAGACAGCATACAGAGATAACAGCACTTAAAGAAGACAGCATACAGAGATAACAGCACTTAAAGAAGACAGCATACAGAGATAACAGCACTTAAAGAAGACAGCATACAGAGATAACAGCATTTAAAGAAGACAGCATCCAGAGATAACAGCACTTAACGAAGACAACATACAGAGATAACAGCACTTAAAGAAGACAGCATACAGAGATAACAGCACTTAAAGAAGACAGCATACAGAGATAACAGCATTTAAAGAAGACAGCATACAGAGATAACAGCATTTAAAGAAGACAGCATACAGAGATAACAGCACTTAAAGAAGACAGCATCCAGAGATAACAGCACTTAAAGAAGACAGCATACAGAGATAACAGTATTTAAAGAAGACAGCATACAGAGATAACAGCACTTAAAGAAGACAGCATACAGAGATAACAGCACTTAAAGAAGACAGCATACAGAGATAATAGCACTTAAAGAAGACAGTATACAGAGATAACAGCACTTAAAGAAGACAGCATACAGAGATAACAGCACTTAAAGAAGACAGCATACAGAGATAACAGCACTTAAAGAAGACAGCATACAGAGATAACAGCACTTAACGAAGACAACATACAGAGATAACAGCACTTAAAGAAGACAGCATACAGAGATAACAGCATTTAAAGAAGACAGCATACAGAGATAACAGCACTTAAAGAAGACAGCATACAGAGATAACAGCACTTAACGAAGACAACATACAGAGATAACAGCACTTAAAGAAGACAGCATACAGAGATAACAGCACTTAAAGAAGACAGCATACAGAGATAACAGCACTTAAAGAAGACAGCATACAGAGATAACAGCACTTAACGAAGACAACATACAGAGATAACAGCACTTAAAGAAGACAGCATACAGAGATAACAGCACTTAAAGAAGACAGCACACAGAGATAACAGCACTTAAAGAAGACAGCATACAGAGATAACAGCACTTAAAGAAGACAGCATACAGAGATAACAGCACTTAACGAAGACAGCATACAGAGATAACAGCACTTAACGAAGACAACATACAGAGATAACAGCACTTACTTCAACCTTAACAGTACCTAAAAGACATTACTTAAAATTCAACAGCACTTAACAACAGGAGCTCAATTCTACGTTAAATTCAACAGCACTTAACAACAGCACCCCCGAATCTGAGGTAATCCGTCCTCATTACGGTGGATCCAGGTGTCCTGTTGAAACTATGTTATGTGTTGATTTGGGGAAATAGGTCAGGCTGTTCCGATGACGATAAGTACAATATCATCACTACTACTACTACTACTACTACTACTACTACCTACTTCTACTATTATTGCTACTATTACTACTATCATAATCACCACTATTTACTACTATAATACTACTACTATTACTACTACCAACAACACCACTACCACCACCTAGCCAACAGATGTGGAAATCCCGTTACGTTGTGTCATGGCAACTATAGTATTTCCTTCCGAAGCAAAACACGCGCCACTACCCGTCTGCTTACTACGCCACTGTTTCCTACGCCACTACCACCTACTAACCCCTACCTGCCTTATCACCTCCCTCTACTCTCCTTCCCTCCCTCTCCCCCCTTCTTCCCTTCCCTTCCCTCCCTCTACTCTCCTTCCCTCCCTCTCCTCCCTCCCTCTACCTTGCCCCCCCCCCTTCCTTTCTCACGCCATGTGCTCTGCCATCACCTGTGTCCATATTTAGATGACTTAACAGCGCAGGAAAGGAAGAACGCAGAGAGAGAAGTCATCCGTTACATTTGTTCAGACTTTTCCTGTAATAATCTACAAACACACACACACACACGTCTCCTTGTCTCACCATCTTCCTCTCTCCTTCCCTCTCCCTCCTTCACTCCTTCCCTCCTCTCCCCCTTCCTCCACCCCTTCCCTCCTCTCCCCCTTCCTCCACCCCTTCCTCCTCTCCCCTTCCTCCACCTTCCCTCCTCTCCCCTTCCTTCACTCCTTCCCTCCCCTCTCCCTTCCTTCACTCCTTCCCTCCTCTCCTTCCTCCACCCCTTCCCTCCTCTCCCCTTCCTTCACTCCTCTCCCTTCCTTCACCCCTTCCCTCCTCTCCCCTTCCTCCACCTTCCCTCCTCTCCCTTCCTTCCCCCCTCTCCCCTTCCTTCCCTCCTCTCCCTTCCTTCCCTCCCCTCTTCCCCTGCCTTCCCTCCTCTTCCCTGCCTTCCCTCCTCTCCCTTCTTCCCTCCCCTCTTCCCTGCCTTCCCTCCTCTCTTCCTTCCCTCCTCTTCCCTGCCTTCCCTCCTCTCCCCTTCCTCCTCTCCCCTTCCTTCCCTCCTCTTCCCTGCCTTCCCTCCTCTCCCCTGCCTTCCCTCCTCTCCCCTTCCTCACCGGGCCACGAGGAAGGCACCAGAATGATCCACTGCTACCTGGTATAAACTGGTTCTGTGAGTGGCACTGTTGACACCTGTAATGCTCAGTGCCAAGTTTCCTCCCTCCCTCCCCCTCCCTATACTCTTCCCCCTCTTTCTTCCTCTTCCCCTTCCTTCCACCTCTTCCTACCCCTCCCTCCCTTATGTTAAACTAACCTAACTCAACGCTATTCTAACCTAACGCTAACCTAACGCTATCCTAACCTAACGCTATCCTAAGCTAACGTCAGTGGTCAATATTACAGAGAAAATACCCTTCCATGACACCCACACGGAACAAAGGAACCAGCTTGGTTTTTCCCGCTGTAAGACCCGGCCGTTCAAGATGCAAGGTACAACACAGGGACGGAATAGGCGATCAGAGATTATTTTAAGACGATTTATTTCCATCTCTCGGTAGATATATGTTAGGGTAGGTGATTCTCTGAGGATATTAAGACATTATATTCCCAGAAATTATGAATATTGATGCGTGTACGTAAGTTAATTTATTGGGTATGGATAAATGATTTTTCCATGTTTGAGGTCGATAATCGGTACAGGATATGGCGAGGTTGGAGGTGAAGTCGGTGATTTAGTTATTGTATGTAATCAATAACCTCGATAAATCCTCTGCGTAATTAAGCGATGATACGAGTAACAGTACCAGCGAAGTATGTTTGGAATTGAAATGAAAGCAACAAGAGCATTTGATAGGTTAGGTTAGGTCTGGGGTCTTGAACCTCTCCTTCAGGCAGCTCCTAGCATTATGGGGGGTTAAATTAATCGTCTTCCCTCTCACTATCCGAACACCTCGCTACCCGAACACCTCAATAGACGTGTTCGTGTTCAGTTTGACATCTTTGTCTTCTCCAGCAAGATGTAAATTTAAAGTAGTTCCCCATTTCAAGAAGTAAATTTAATCTTTAAGAAAACGTAGACGCGATTCTGACAAATATCCATCATAAAAGAGATAATTATTGTCATGTACATATGTATGCTCTGTGTATAGTGCTCTGGCGTATGATAACAAGTCATACACACCACATACACGTAGACATCCAAACATACACTCAGGCATGCAAACATATTATACACACTACACACACACACACACACACAGAGACACACCTAGACATGCAAAGACATTATACACACAACACACATATACACTTAGGCGTACACACAACACATACACACACACACGTAGGCATGCACACACACGTAGGTATGCACACACATATACACACCACATAAGGGCACAATAAAACACACATCGTTCCTAGAAATGAACATTAATCAGTATTCCAAAGCTCACATCCACCCCCACACGTACACAGGCTCCCATCACATAATTCTAGTCCCTGTCTACTATAAACAGAAGACTATAAAAACCCTTTCCTGTGGTCGTGAGGATAATCTCGTCATAAGTGGGAGAGATATTCCCGTAGACATTTCGTCTTATTAACTTTCCTCCTGTAGTTGATTATCTTTGTTCCCTTTCTCTTGTCGTAATGTTGCTTCACTCTCTCTTTTACAGGTACTTTAACAGGCAATGTTCGGTGGATTTGGCATCCTGTGTACCTCCGGCAAGGCCGTGGGCTCGTAACACACGTCTTGCCCGCAGTGCCCACCGTTTC